TGTAACAAAATCTAATAGTTAGGTGAGCAAGGTTAAAACAAGCTATGGTTTAAACTCCCAAAAGCTGGTAGATAGGAAAATATTTAACTCATTCTCAAGTGCTAGGATTTCCTAATTCCTCTTATGGCTCTCCATGCTGTTAAGAGATGGCACAATCTTGGAAAGATCCTTAATGTATTACCTTATGAGTTCTGCATGGCCAGCCATTGATAAATCACAGAGAAGCAAAAGAAATATTAAAAATACAGTTTAACTGAACTCAATGCCTACTTGCACTTCTCGTGTCCAAAAACAAAGGTCACTTGACATTTTGTTTTCAAGCCTTAGCACAGAATCCACAGTATTTGTGCCATCTGGAACAACATAACAAGGCACTTTCATGTTTTCCGGTAGGGAACTCTTTCCCGAAAGACCAAAAAACTCATCATCGTTTTTGTTTTGGATCTATTTTCACAACAGAAGTTTACAGTAATTTCCACATACCAATTTCTCTCTACTTCTCCCATTTTCTCACTGATGTCTCCAGCCATCAACATAGGAGAGGAAGCCCAAGGATACAAACCAACTCCTCTGCTCAGCTTACAGAGTGAGCCAGGAAACCACACATTAAGGTTTGCAAAGCCCAGGGATGTTCTGGCTGACCTATGTGCTCTGCTATGGATTTTGATGAGATCCTCAGAAGTTCATTGTCTCAGTACTCACTTTTTAAACCTGAATGCCACATTAAAGCAAATACATCAAAGTTTTCAAGGCCACAACAGGCAGAAATAATACAAGTAACAAGTGAAACTTCAAGTGGAAGAGCAAGAGCTCTTCCAAGCCAATTTAAGAATTACACTGAACTCTTGCACAGGAGACAGTCTGCTTTTCCTATTAACAAAATACAGTTAAGAGTAATCCACCATTGCTGCTACAACTGTATCTATGGATGGAGTCAATGAAAACATGCATCTAAATTAAAACTTACATTGCTAAATATTGAATTTGACAATAGAGTAGGGTTTTTTCAAATACATCAGCAAACAGACCTTGTATTGGCATGATTCTGAAACAAAAGTAGACTTTAGCTGTTAGATTAGAGTGATAAATCATCAGCAGAGAGATTTCATGCTGTACGGAAAGGAAACTTCTACAAGTTAAACCAAAAAACAGATTGCCCTTTTATTTCCTTCTACATGATGTTACAGACATATTACTCTTCCAAAGAACCTCCTTTGAGAGAAGTGCTGTGGAGCACTTCTCCATCCCCCCTTAGCCACTTTTATTCTACTTATCTATTGCCAATGTTTTTAATGTGCAAACATTCTCACGATTATGATGTTGAAACCATGGATGTTGCAACAGGATCAACAACACATTTCCCCACTTCACTAGGAGCCAATTTCCAGTACACTGATAGCACAAACATTCAGCACATAACCCAGAACTCAGACTCCTGGTTTCATAAGCGATGAGTCTCAGTGTCTCCTGATGCAAGAGATAAGATGCCAACTGACAAAGTCTAGGTATTCCAAGAAATAGGAAAGTAAGGAATGCAATTCTAGAAAGCAAACTGCCTAACACATACACGAGAGGTAGCAGAGCCCGTAAAGTTGTCTGCTCTTGGTGCCATGCTAAAGGAACTAGCAAAGTAGTCAAAATACCTACAAAGAATTATTCATAAAGGGGTGTATATCAAAGTGGGATAGAATTCTATTCTTCCTGGAAGAGGATCTCTTCGCTCAGGCTACCCCTGAGGTTTACAGCATCTAGTTTAATCCTTGTCTGCACAAGAAAATCTAAGCCATTTAGCCAGATATTTCTTTAACAATTTTATATAAACTAAAAGGCAACCTCTGAATACACTCTTAACATCTATTATGTTTAAATCAGCATGGCACATAGCCATCATTTACTGAGGTACCTTATTACCTACTGAGGTACCTTGCATGCCTCTGCAAGTCTATTAAGTGAGCCTGTCCTTTTAAAATTAGACATCTTAAATGGTGGCTGTGTCTCAGTGAAAGTCACAGGAATGACATTGGAATTTACTGCAGGTAAGTTACCTCACATCAGCAGCTCTGCAACATTTCTCTATGTGTGCACTCCTTCCATCTCACACAGAGAGATAAGTCCTTTCTGTTCGATGGCTTGCTCTATGGCAAGAGGGATCAGAGCACGCATGCCACTGCAGCAGACCCAATAAGGAAATGCTCATGAGTCATGGCAAATCAGAAATACAGGATTGTGTACAGCTATTACCACAAGAAATAAAACCACCAGAAGAAATAAAACCACAGCAGCTCACCTGCCCTATGCTGGGTAGAGGCATCCAAGTACCTACCTGCAAGCAACACCACACAACTACCTACCTGCACAACTATTCCTTGATCATGCACACAGCTTTCAGTATGAAATTTGAACTTGCCTGGATTAGAGATTTTTAGCTTGTATAAACAGCAGAAAAGTTGCTTCACCCTGAGCACTGTATTCCAGTTTCAAACATGCAAACTATCTGACTGCAGAAAATCCCTAGAATGCACAAGGGCTGAGTATCAGCAGCTTCCCAATTTCCCCACTTTGCTGCGGTTTTCACAGTGTTCAAAGTATTCACACTAATTATTAGACAATACTAACTCACACCAGAAACATGCTAGAGCACAGCTGAAAGGCATGGAAGACACTTAACTTTTACACAAAACGAGCCAAACAAATGCATTTTCTCATGCTGCTAAACACCAGTTTAACAGCCAAAGACTTTGTACTGATAGCATACATTAACACAGTAGCTGCAACAGCAGATGCATTTATCTCCATAAGCCACCATATGTTTTGGAGCCTTATGTAAGAATCAGGAGAGTATTTGCATTTCTTGTTTTAACAAGGATTGAAACAGACTTTACCTCTGCAATGCTTTTTTGAGAGAATAGAAAACAGAGGAACGTTTGTACTTGAAGCATACGAGCATATTTTTGCTCTTTAACAGAGAGTAACATAGAGCAGCATCTCTCCAAAGAGAATCATTACTTAAATTCAGTGATACCAGTGCTGCCTAGCCAGAGAGATAGATCAGCTTAGGAAGTTCGTAAGCTGAACTGCCACAGAAAAGAATTATGACCTTTTCCTACTCTTTGAAATTCTACAGTCACAGAACAGTTGAGGTTGGAACGAACTCAGAAGGTCACTTGGTCCAACCCCCAAATTTGACCTTGCCCCTACAGTTGGAAGTCTCCCCTTACTTTCCTGCTTCTGTAATCAACACACAGCTGCCAAACACCCTGACAGCTGCTCAGGCTGCAATCCTTCACATAACCTTAAGGTAACTTCAGTAACACCAATCCCCCCTTTATTCTTTTTGCCCTTGCTGTATACTATTCTCTTGCTTGAAGATCCAAATTCCTCATTTTAAACATCTGCTCATATTCTCCTTCTCTTCCCATCCATTTGATGCACCGCTTGCCCTGATCTACACACACTCTCTGTCTGTCATTAAAACTGTTATTTCACTAGTAATTGCTTTCTACATACTCATCATTCACCTTTATTTCCCTTGCCATACTGTTTGGGGGCTTCCATACCTCCAGAAGGCTTGAAACACACATCACACTTCCTATTAATTTACATCACTGGGAGGACGATGACATCCACTCATTCTGTGTCCTGGCACACAGTAACCTATAAGGAACTCCTTTCCTTGCATAACAGAGTATCAATTTGAGTCCTCCAAAGCAAAGTGATTAGAAAGCAGAAGTGCTGGGATCTGCCCTGAGAATCTCTTAACTGACAACAGGCCAGGCAGCCTCCTGGCTTCCCCTTGTGAGGCTGAGAGATGAGGGCTCACTATAGCTACAGCGCTATTACTTTCTTTCCCTGCTGCAGAAGAGCTCCTAAAACTCCACAGGAGCTTATCTTACCCAGGGATGAGTCAAAGCTTATGCAGAAGGCATGCAGTGCCGCAGAGACAGTTTTACCAGGGGAGGCCAATTGCGTGCTAATCAAAAGCCTCTTATCTGGAAACACCTGGTCCTTTGTGCTACTCTAAAACCAGGTCCAGGGATCCCAGCTGGATTTCCTCACAGCTGCAGGTAGCAGAGACACTGCTGGGTGGATTGCTACCGTCCTTCCCTGAGCAAACAGATTGGCTTAATCTAACTAGAGATGCCCGGGAGCATCTCTATTCAGATGAGACCCATAAAAGAAAAAGAAACCACAGATGCCAGGTCAGAAAGATCTCAAAATATCTCACATTACTTACAGGCTGCACTTCCTAAGCAAGGAGAGGAGAGATTTGACCTTAGCTGAAACGCATGTTCTAGAGCAAACAAGCTTATTAATGCAGCGCTGATGATCCTGCTATAATTGCTGTACTGGAATTAGGATATTTCACCAAGGCTTCAAGCAGAAAGCAACTCTCCAAACACGGATAAAGCACAGATTATCGACAGGGCAGCATCAAAGCCAGGTCACGAGGTCTTTCCTTTTCCCTCCCCAGGAGCAGGGGCTGCTTTATCCCTGGTTACAGCAGGGTGCTGCCGGGCCTCTCGCAGCCGGGCTCAGCACACCTGTACCGGCGGAGGCAGCAGCCCGGGCTTCTGAGGGCGCGGCAGGGCCAGGACCCAGCGCAGCCCGAGCTGCCGAGCCCCGTCCTCGCACAACCAAGGGACAGCGGCTTCTTCTGCCTCCCAAAGCGGGTCGTTGGCTGTCACTCCCTCCAACCGCAGCCTCCTTTCTAAGCTTAACACGCAAAAAGGAAGGAGAAGGCCACGAGAACTCACTAGAAGGGCTGGAGTCAAGCCACGTAACACAGCGCGCATTTGCGCGGGGGGAAAGGGAGCCTCGATGGTACAACGTACGCACCGAAAAGCACAGGAACAACAACAAAACTACACCGCCATCCACCCGGCGCGGCGCAGCCCCCAGCCCCGACCTCCGTCCCCGCTGGTCGGGTTAAGCTCCCCGCCCGGGTCGCCCCGCCGCCCCCGTCCCACGCGGTTCAGAACCGCCAGCTCCCCCGCACTCACCGCGGCGGCGGCAGCATGGCCCCTCACACCGCCCCGCGCCCTCAGCGGCGCCGGCTCCACGTAACCCCTCCTTCTGCTCCTCCTTTTTCTCCTCCTTCTCCCTCCCCGGCCGCCCCTGCCATGTGACACGCTGGGGCGCGGCCGCCATGACGGGCGGGGCTAAGGGACCGAGAAGATGGCGGTGATGGTTTGGAGGGCTGTGGGTTTGTCCAGTCGTTCCAGTCTGGGCTGGAGCTATGAGGGGAGAGGCAGCTGGGGGTGAGGGAAGGGTTGTGACCCAGAGGACGGTGGGCCTGGAACGGGCTGCTCAGGGCAAGGCACAGCCCCGAGTCCTGCAGCTCACTGTGCGTTGGGACGCCGCTCTGAGACAGGTTTGGTTGGTCCTGTGCGGAACCGGCAGTTGGAGGCAGCTGCTTTGGGTCCCATCCAGCTCGGGACATTCTGTGATTCTGTCGCTGAGCACTGAAGCACAGAGGGGTTCGGAGGTGGAGGTGCAGCCTTCAGTCTGCACAGCCCAAAGCTCTGCACATCTGGTCAGAGACTGGGAATCATAGCATCATAGCATGGCTTGGGTTGGAAGGGACCTCAAGGGTCATGAATCTCCAACCCCCTGCCATAGGCAGGTCCACCATCCTCCAGATATGATACCAGACCAGGCTGCCCAGGGCCCCATAAAACCTGACCTTGAACACCTCCAGGGATGGGGCATCCACGGCCTCTCTGGGCAGCCTGTTCCAGCACCTCACCATTCTCTCTGTGAAGAACTTCCAATCAAAACCTTCCCTCCTTGAGCTTAAAACCATTCCCCCTTCTCCTATCACTGTCTACCCGAGTAAAAAGTTCATTTCCCTTCTTTTTATAATCCCCTTTTAAATACTGGAAGGCTGCAATGAGGTCTCTTCACAGCCTTCTATTCTCCAGGCTAAACAAGCCCAGCTCCCTCAGCCCGTCGTCGTAGGAGAGGTGCTCCAGCCATCTGATCATCTTCATGGCTCTCCTCTGGACCCAGTCCTGCAGCTCCACATCTTTCCTCTATTGGGGGCCCCAGACCTGGATGCAGTAAGGCCCTCGGGAGTTCTGTTGCAGTTTTCTCTGAAGACTGAAGCCATTTCCAGTCTCCTCAGGAGGTCCTGCTTTGGACTTCGTGTCCTTGAATGACATTTGGAAGTGTTTATCATAGATCTCTGAATGGGAGAAAAGAAACAAGTGGAGGTTAGGCTGACAGGAAATGTCTGGGCTAAATATCTTTATTTCCTTTGCTGTGAAGCTGTCAAGTGTGTATAGGACTAACTTCTTTCCCTGCCTTGGGGAATAGAAGTACCAGCCTGACACTTAGTATGTGCCCCAGCAGAGTGTGTTCAGTACTTCCTCTGGGAGCTGTTCTGCTCTGCATGTGTAATTAAATACTAATTAAGCTATGGGAAGTAATGAGTTTGTAGGGGTTGTGGGTTAGTTCCTTAGAAGGGAAAAACCTGAAATCAGGCCCCATTATCACACTTGTTCTTTTGACCCAGTGATTACCACTTGCAGAATGGAGAGAGAGCTGAGAGAAATTAGCCACAGCTATGCTGAAATAATGTCAGCTTGGCAGTTAATGTGCGAGAGTTCATGTCCTTTCAGATGGAGTGGCATGCTGAACTCTCAGATCTTTCAGATCCAGAATAAATGATCTAACCAACGATGAAAGGATGGTGGGGTAGCTTCACCACTCATCCATATTTGTGCAGAACGTGACATGTCATTGAGGTGTGAGACTGAAAGACATTTTGGGTTTGTAAATCCTGGTGAGGTTTAGGAATGAACTAAGTGATGACTTGCACAGCATAGTCAGGACTGGAAGCTTTTATGAGCATGCCCAGATACAGAACTTGAGCTGCCTGCACCATCTGATAGCTAGCTGCTGAGTGACATTTTGAGGATGGTGGATTTTATTTTAGTAAATAAAACCTTTTTGTTTTAGTGGAAATTCAACAGGCTTGACACACTGAGTCCCTTCTTTGGTGCATTACTGCCCCGAACTTTACAATAAGATGCTTTATAATAACACAAATAGAGCAAAATGCAGAATTTGTTGAAAGGCTTTAATTACAGCATTAAAATACTGGAACCAAAAAGGCAGCATGTACTCAGCAGCTTCAGTAAGAGAAGAGTGACAGGGTTAGCTGGCAGATGACAAGGAGGCAGCAGGGATCAAGATAAAAGTAATGTGTGCAATGAGATAGCCTTGTAGTTAGCATCCCCATCAGCCAGCTTTTCGTAATTTCTGTTTCATAATGGCTAATATGAAGCTTTGATCTCTCATTCATAATAATTCAGCCTGAGGATTTTAGGTATGTGCGAAGCAGTTTTAGGTAAAAGCAGCCTCAGCACATATGCTGTCTGCTTCATGCAGATTTATTATTGTTGTAATCCTAATTTGGCTAGTTCTTGCCAAATTCCAATTACTTAATCTACTCAAGCAGTTATTTTAGTTCTTACTGCAGAGAGTTTCCTTGCTGCCTGGATTATCATTTTATTAACAATTAATGAACTGCTACTTTTTAGTTTCATTTACTGTACGGTCTTTGAGATGTCTGTCATTTCTTAAAATCCCTAATAATCTGCCCAGCCCAATTGTTCAATATGCTCTATAATAAGTCATTAATGTTAACTGATTGCTTCTCTTCCTGTATGTTCATAGCAGGAGTCAAGGATTTGTATATAGATGCTGGCTAGAAATATTAACCCAAGTTAATGCTCTGCCAATATGAGTTATGTTCAGAATTTGGAATCCATGTGTATTCAAGCACTGAAATTATATTTATTGACATGTTATGCACAGAAAGGACAGAAGAGAAAGAGATATTGAGCTACAAAAGATAAATTCTGTGTCTTTTTCTTACACTGACTCTTCAATACAAAGAAGAGGAATATCCCTGAACAGAACTAACATATTATTCTTCAAAATGCAGATCATGCAGAACAAATGTCTCCAGCTGATATGTAGAGCTGTTGGCCAGCTGTGATAGAGAAGATGTTGGAAACTCCAACCATTCTTTTAATAACCAGGAAAAAATGCATTTATTTCAGTGATTTCCTTGTGTAAGTTTGTGTGCGGGTTGTCCATGACTAAAGGCAGGGTCTGCATATTCTCTGTTAGAATTTCTATGTGATTACAGTTTGGAATGGGGTAAACAAGCCCTTGTAAGCACTGGGCATTCTATTCAGAATTTTCTACCACTTGTTTTCACTGCATGTCATGCAGGGTTTCTTTTGCCTGCTCTTTCCAAAAAAAGAAAAGGTCAAATGACTATTTGGAATATGTATGTGGGTTTTCTGATCTGTTCTCTCTTCTCAAATGCTTTTAAACTCTTGGGCCGTTTTCAACAAATTTGACAGTGGGTGAAGATCTCAAAGAGATTATATTCCGAGTAGCTTTGCAAAAGTGGATGTCGGGATGGGAGAGAGGTTGCTTTCCTACTACTGAGGAAAGCCTGTAGAACAAGTTCATCCCACATACCCCTAAGTTCATTAGGAGCGCACTGGGAAGACTGTGGAGCTGTTGTGGCTAGTCTATTGAAAACATCAGTTCTGTGATTCATGGTAGGTGAAAAGGCAAAAAGCTTATTGGGAATATTAGGGTAGGAACGAAAGACAAGATTTAGGACTCTAGAGTGAAATTTTCAGGCAATAACTTTAAAAGAAACAAAGGGAACTATGTTTTCCCTTGAGTTATAATTGCAAATTGCTAGAAGTATATTGGGGAGGTCAAAAATATGATTGTGCTCCTGAATGAGTTAGATGTGGACAGGGAGAATATGTCCATTGAGGCATGTTTAGCATAATGCTAATGCAGCTGCCAGCTCAGGAAATCTCCAGGTAAAGGAGTGGATTCAGCTAGCAGCTTAAGGCACCTACACTTGTGTTGAACTGTGCAGGTGTCTCTGTGTGAACCAGATGTCTAAGATCCTTTGATGCTCATTAGAGAACTAATGTGGGATTTAATTACATAAATGCAGGCATCTAATGCCATTTAAGGCATCGTGGAGTCTCCTACCTGGCCTCCAGCTCCTGTTCCAAGAACATTCAAGTCTCCTACAAAAACCCACAGAACTGTCATATCTGTCAGGCTCATGTGGGAGCCTGATTTCTCAGACCATCATAGCTGTCACTAAGCTGAGCCCTGCTTGTAGCTGATTCAGCAAGCTATTCAGATCACTGTAGGCTGGATAAATCTGCCTATTTTTGGACAACTGAATGGCTCTTGACTTCATTAGCTGTAGCAAGTAGTTCTGTATTGACTGCAGGAGAAACGTAGACTGGCATGAAAGCATCTACTTGGGGACACTTCAGGCTAGATGTCAGAATGTACAGCTTTTTCCAGACTGTATCAGAAGGTAAAATTGCTTAGTTTTCATTATGCTGTTTGCTTAAGTTCCCTTAGCTAGTCAGACACCTGAGATGATTTAGCTGGTGTTGACTTAGGGGATGAAGACAGAATATTGCACATGAAAAACCTTCTTACAACATTCAGATGTGATTAATAATAGGGTTTGCATGAAATCTGAGATTCACAGTGTATTGTAGAATGATGCCCTGATGTGTAGTGATACTGAATGCAGCTTCATAAATCCCTAAGCCTAAAAGATGCCTGATGGCTGAGAGTTCTGGGGCAGCCACAGATGCTGCTGATGAAGCCACTGGAACAGCAAATTCTTAAGCCATTAGATCCTGTAAGCGCAAGCGATTTTTTTCACAAAGGTAAATCAAAACGAATTTGGTTGATGACAGCTTCACACCCTTCTATGAATCAGACCAGTTGGATCTTGTTAGAGTAGCAGAACTTGCCTAAAGGGAATTTCGGCTAACGTTCAAGCTTAAAATAGAACAGTAAGAAGAAAAGCCAAATGATAATTAGATGACTTTTGGAATCAATTTCCTTCCCAGTCTCTTGCACTTAAAATGTTTTAAAACTAGTGTTTTCTAGTTGGAAAGGCAAAACTTGTAGCACTCCTGCGTTGTCACAGGATCATAGAATGGCTGAGGGACCTTAAAGATCATCAAGCTCCAACCCCCTGCTGTGGGCAGGTTGCCAAGCA